CGAGGCCCTGGGTTCGATTCCTCAGCACCACATAAGAAAAAAGCCAGAAGTGGCACTGTGGCTCAAGTGGTAGAGTACTAGCCTTGAGCTGAAGAGCTGAGGGACAGCGCCCAGGCCCAGAGTTCAGACCCCACAACCAGACCCCCCCCCAAAAAAAAAGAAAGAAGAAAAGGAAACAAAAAGAAATACATGTTATTTTTGATACATTTAATTTTAAATGCCCATGAGCCATATCCCAGTTAGATATATTTGTCTAGAGCTTGTGAGCAAGCTAGCTGTAAACACAGGGTTGGGAATCATCTACAGAAATAGAAACCGAAGCTTGAAAGCAAAGTGATTTTTGCATAGATTGCACAGAGAAGAGAAGAAGGCCTGAAAGGAAGTCTGAAGAAAGCTCCACTTCATTAGAGCTCCAGAGTAACTGGGTAAACAAAGTCAGGGAAGTCATAGTTAGGCCAGGAAAATGCAGTTAGGAATCTAGGACGTGTAGGAAGAGTTGGCAAAGTCATAAATCAAACCAAGGAATATCAACCCTGAAACCTGTCCCCTGGATGAGGGCAAAATGTGGCTGTGGTGGCGGATAAGAGGAGGAAGCCATATTGGAAGATAAATCCAGGTAAGAACACAGACAAAAAAATTAGAGACAGTTCTTTGTTGCTGTTGGTGGTGGTGGTGGTGGTGGGGCTTGAACTCTAGGCCTGGGCACTGTCCTTCAGCTCTTCAGCTCAAGGCTAGCACGTCTGGCTTCTCATTAGTTTTAAAAGTTGTAAAGATTGAATCTTACTTAAGCTTTGTCTTTGTGTGTGAATGTGTATGTAAGACTGAATGTTAACCTTTATTTTTGTGTGTGTGTATGTGTATATGTGAGTTCAAACCCCACAACGGACAAAAAAAAAAAAAAGATGCTCTCTCTCTCCACTTTTGGGAGAACACACAGAGCCGGGGAATTCTTCCCTCCCTCCCTCCCTCCCCCTGCTCCTTACCTCCTCTTTCCCCCTCACTCTTTCCAAGATGATTATTTTTTCCCTGCAATTTCCCTTTCCAGTGTAGCATCTGGAAGATTCCACTTGCCTCAGCCTCCTCATGTTCCACATTCTGTCTTCTCACTTCATGGCGTGGCAGTGGGCAGGGGTCTAGGGGCAGGGGTCTGGGGGTGGGGGTCTGGGGGCAGGGGGCTGGGCTTTCCCCGCAGGGCCATATATTGCTGATTAGGCCATCATCGCTTCTTCAGGGCTGTGGGTGAACGCTGAGATTTTTGTAGTGTGATCTAAGGTGACTCTCTGGAGGCCATCATGGTGCTAAATTTCATTTTATCTGTGAAATAACCTGAACGAAAAAGAATGCCCTAAGAGACGTCTCCAACTTTAAGAGAATTGGAGGCATGGCTCTGTTGGTAGAGCACTAGCCAATGAACCAAAGTGTCAGATACTGAGTTTACTGAGTTTGAGTCCTAGTCTTGCACGAGAGAGAGTGCAGGGGGTGGGAAGAGAGAGGGAGAGAGAGAGAGAGAGGGGGAGAGGAATTGGTATGATTTTTAGACAGGTTGGGTCATTAGCAGCAGCTCTTACATTGGGTTTTAATTATAAGTGGATTCAAATTCCATTCAAATCCTTTTAATAAATATGGTTTATTTAGAAGTTTGGTGGTGTTGTTTGTTTTTGCTTTTGTTTCTTTGTGGGGGGGCAGAGGGGAACACAGAAATGGTGGGAAGAAGAGTGAACAAATGCAGTCATGGTATGTGGAAAATGTAACTATGTAACTAGTAGGCAGGGACAGGAAGGGAACTTAAAAATAAAAGAAAGGTACTCATTACCTCATTTATGAAATGGTAACCCCTTTGTACAACACCTTAATAACATAATATTACATTAAAATACGTGTGCAAATAGAAAAAAAAGTTCATGTAAACATGGTTTTCTACTAGAAAAGTTCACACAGATGTAGCTTACAACAACCTGTATTGAAAGCCTTAAAGTTCAAGCTTGGGGAGATGGAAAGTAACAATCACAGTAAATATTTATAGCTCATCAACTGTCTTCTACATGCATCTACATACCTTAGTTCATCAGGAACTCGATGTCATAATGATAAGCTAGCGGAGAAGTTTAGATTTAGTTTAACAATTTCTAGTTGCTGGCATATAAATATTTGCACTTTGCTTCTTCCCTAATCCATGTCAACAAATGGTAACAGCGAAACTCCAGCCCCTCAGAGCCGCTCAAGTCAATAACTTTATTATATCAAATTTCTTCATGTTTCTTAACTGCATCTGAATTTCATGGCTCTGATGTTTAATTATGTATCTAAGTCTTTTTTTTTTGC